CTTTGAAAAGTAAAAGAAAAATTGTTTCATTGTTTTACAATCCCTCCCCCCAGGTTCACTTCACTATGCAGCCTTCGTTCTGGACTCCTGTCATGACAATAATACCTAATCACATATTCCTTTTAAACAGTTTTCTCCCTCATCTGTTTCAATGTGGTATACATTATTTATCCCATCTTTCTCCCCTCAACCCTGATGTCAGTCCTGTTTTACAACAGTGGCCCTGTGCAATATTTGTCCTTTTGTGACTGAGATATTTCACTCAAAATGTCTGTATTCTTTAGCTCATTATTTCCACTACTCTCTGAAAGTTACTCCCACGTTCAGGAAAAGCTGTCTGCTCAGAAACGTTCATCATAACCTGGATAAATAGGAAACAAACAAACCTCAGTGGCCTGCTTTCTACCAGTAAGGATGTGGCTCATCCTGCAATGGTGTGTTCTGATGCCTCTCCAACTTAACTCATTGCTGTCAAGTCAGAACCGACTCATACTCTAACCTCTAATGGGTTTTTAGAACCTGTAAATCACATGGGAAGAGACTCTCTATCTTCTTCCCGAGGTCATGATGACAGGCCATGTGAAACCATAGAAGTTCCTTCTGGTAGAAAGTTAACAGGAGGCAAAGCTGCACGTGTCGTGTGACTCTAATTGGAACCAGACGCCTGCTGTGCTGTGCGTGTACAATGCCTGGCACTCGTTCACTCACTCATTACTGGTAAGTCAGAACCGGCTCATAACTGACCCTCTAGCAGATTTGTGGAGGCTGTAGATCAACGGAAGCAAACTGCCCTGCATTTTCCCTTTGAGTCTGTGGTGGACTTATACCACACCAGAGAGGCCTGGGGTTTGGCTTAGCAGTGCAACTTCTTACAGACTCCAACCCCAGAGCTCCCCAGAGCCCTGATAATTAATGTACTAAGGAAAGAACTGTGTGTTTATTTAGATTATGTGACAAAATATTTTCCTCTGATGTTACCTGGTGTAAATTTATAATTTTTTAGAAAATAGCTAGCCTTTTATTCACTTCATTGGTTTGGAGCATGCCTGGGAAGGGAGACAGCTGTAAGCTACAGGCACGCAGATGTTTTTGTCTGTTTTGCTCACTGCTCTATCCCCTGTGCCAAATCAGAGCCTGGATGGATGCAGGTCGCTTCAGGAAAGAAGATACTTTTGAGTGTCCCCTACCATCCATACTTGTTCCCCTTTAATTTGGCCTTTCCCATTGTGTGTACCCAAAGTCTGTGGAATGAGTAAAGGAAGAATCAAGAATTCAGATGTGTTCCTGTTCTGAACTGACTGCAACAATGTTGACTGTATGGACAGACTTCTGGTCCACACAAAATAAATTCAATAGCTCATTGTTGTTGTTGTTGTTGTTGTCGTTGTTGATTGCTGTCGAGTCAAGCACGACTTATAGAGACCCTATGAACGAAAGACCTGAAACCTTTCTATAACTATTGTTTCTCAAAGTTAATAGAATTTCTAGAGGCTTGTTGTTTAGGAAGTGGATGCCACTCTTGCTTCCAATCCTTTTTTTTTTTTAAACGGTCAACACTCTTGGGACCAGCAGTCAGGAAATCAAAAAACATATTGCGATGGGAAAGTCTGCTGTTAGGGACCTCTCTAAAGTACTCAAGAGCAATGGTGTCTCTCTGGAGACTAAGGTGCTGCACCTTATACAGGCCATGGTCTTTGCAATCACTTGTTATGCATCAGAGAGGTGGACAATGACTAGGGAGGATAGAAGGAGAATTGACACCTTTGAGCTGTGGTGCTGGAGAAGAGTATTGAATGTACCATGGATTGCCAAAAAAACAAACAGATTCATCCTGGAGAGGATTAAACCAAGCAACTCCTTGGAGGTAAGGATTCTGGATTCAAGGATTCGTCTGACATACTTGGACATGTTGTAAAGAGATGTCCTTGGAGACGGACATCATGCTTGGGAGGGTGGAGGGACAGCGCAGCAGGGGAAGGCCCTCTATGAAGTGGATTGATTCAGTGACTGGGATAATCGGGGTGGGTGTGTCAGAGGCAGTGTGATTGGCATGGGACAGAGCAGGGTTTAGGGCTGTTGTACATAGGGTCGCTATGAGTCATAAATGACTCGATGGCACATAACAACAACAACAATTAATTTTAATGAAAATTTCAAACCTGTCTTAAACTGGGAGCTCCACCAAACACTGTCCACCATGGGTAAACATTACGCCATTTGACACTCCAATGACACAAGGTTCAGCATCACAGCAACCCCAGGTTACCTCAGTACAGCATATTGACAGAAGAGTGCTGGAACACTTAGAAGAATGTTCCTCCAAAATAAAATAACAATGGACTTTTAAATGCAAAAGCCCTCTGAGGGGGTGTGTGTCTTGTTGACGCTAAACAAAAGGTTTAAAGGAACTTCCTAAACGGTGTAAACAGTTCATGTATTCCCCTGCTAACTACAAGGCTGCAAGTTTAAATCCACTCACAGTTGCTTCAATAGAAATTCCTGGTGATTTACTTCCAAAACCAGCCACTGAAAACTTTACAGAATAAGGTTCTACCTCCACACACAATGTCACCATGGGCTGACATCAACTTGATAGCAATTGACCAATGGCCAGAAATAATGGCTAGAAATAGGACCATAGAACTGGACACTATCAGAACTGGAAATTATCTTGTTCTTACGTCCTCAAAGTCACATTTGGAATTGATACACATCATTAAAGACAGATAACTTTATATCTCTTTAATAACCCAAATAAGATTTTCAAACCCTGAGCAATATTTTACCTGGAGAGTCTACATGAGGAGAGCATTTAGGCTCTGAGGATATCCCCAAGTTAGAAAGAATCGAGAACGCAAACTTGCCCTTTTCCCAATGGTGAAATGTCGCCAAGACTGTGCTTGCTGCGTGGGGATGGTCTGATAGGAAATGAACTGCCCATCCGTCCACTTGTAGATGGCGGAAGTGGATTTCCTGTTGGCTGTTGCCACGAAGAGCCCCACCTCGGGGATGATGAAGGCCTCAATGCCCAGGGTCTCTGAGGTGGTGAACAGGTTCTGATGCTCTTCCACATAGTCGAGCTTTTCTTTGGCTTGTGAAAGAAAAGTTAGGATTTAGCCAACATTCCCCTAAAGGCCAATCAATCAATCAATCTTCTTAAATGCACAGTCCCCAGGGGTTCTACCTATGTCTGACTCCCAAAGCATTTGCTTTCCTGTGGGGGTCAGTTTCACAAAACACTATTGGCCCCTGGGCTTCCTTTAACTCTGATAATCCAGTTGCCATGGTGTTGACTCCAGCTCCTGACACCCTGTGTGTGCTAAAGTAGAACTGCACCTCACAGCATTCTCAGGGGCTGAATTTGAGAAGCAGGGGGCCAACCCTTTCTGCTGGGACACGTCTGAGTGGATTTGAACCTCTAATCTTATTTGGCAGCTGAGCACATTAGCCGAGTGCTCTATTCAGTGGCTCTTGGAAGAGATTCAACAGCAATTGGTTTTATATTCTTATAGACAAGGCCAAATAGAGATTGCTTGGGCCTGCCATGAGTTTTATGATCCACAGAGCCCCAGATGATACTAACGGTGTGAAATATATAGGTTGCACCCTGATTAAAGAATTCTTCAAAGTATATTGCCTCTATAAAAGTTGCGCCCTAGATAAACTGCAAGTAAGAGAAGAGCCAGGTGGTGCAGTTAGAACCGTTTCCATTTCTGATGGACAACCCACTGGGAACATTTATCAAACCTGTACTGTCCTTCCCACAAGCAGGAATGGAATTCTGAAATGTTCAGCTGTAAGAAAGAATATTTTTAGGCTCTTGACCTTATTGTATCTTATTTATGACTTGGGATAGGAAAAATATGAAGAGAGAAGGCTACTGCGCCACCTTACAAAGGAAGGACCCTGCTTTTTTCTGCCACAGTTTGGAAGCAGTCCAGAGATACCAAAAGCCCCATGGGTTAATGTCCGTGGGTCATGCCAAGGGGAGCAAATGTTGCTGAGTTAAGTGCACAGGTCCGAGCACTGTTTCTTTTCCTCCTCCTTGATGGGAGGCCTCCCTGGCCAAAGTATACTGTGCTCTGAGTATTACATATGTCCTGGCTTGCCTGACAAGTCCTGATTGATAATTACTTTCCAAATTTTCAGGAGGATTCTAGTCTGAAAGACTTATTATGTGGCCATCAAGAGATAACCCAGGGCCATGCATTTATCAGCAGCCTGCCTATCCTACCATGCTGTGCTGCAGAATCACATGGGAAATGTGGATTAGGGGACAGTTGGGTGTCAGGGCCTAAAACCAAGAACCCCCATTAATCACATCCAAGACATCACCCCCAGCCTCACCTGCTATTACGGAGATCCACTCGCTGCCAACACAGAGATACAGTCCCTTCCGACCAACATCAAACCAGAACTGAGCGTCTTCCACTTGGGTGCAGCGGGGCTGTGCCCCTACAGTCACCTTCACATCGGTTTCTAAGTGAGAGACCAAGGAGGATGAGTGCCCATCGGACACGTGCTCTCAGGAGGAAGACTGAGGTGAGTGAGGGTGGGGGCCACATGAGTGCAGTCTTGCCTTTGGTTTTGCCAGAACTGGAACAATCCAACCCTTTCATGTCACAGATGAGTAAAGTAAGATGCACAGAGCCTAGCCATGTACCAGGATTGGCCCTGCACACAGGAAACTGGAATGCTTTTAAACCAGAACCAGTCATAACAGTCCAGCCCAGCCCTAGGAGCTTCCACTTCCTCGCTAACTGGGACTTCAAACCTATGTTCTCTGGAGATTTCATCATAACAAAGGCAAGAACCTTGTGCTTATTACAAAGGGAAGACACCATGCAGGCCCCAATCACAATCTTGCCCCAGTATGAAAGACCTGACTTTGTCTAAATGACACTTTTTCCCCCCAGCTAACTTTGTTAAGCTTCTTACCAAAGGAATCAACCAGTTTTCTAAAAGGAGCCCTAAGGTGAGACCAGGCTGCTCCTTGGAGGCAAGGATTCTGAGGCTCTGTCTAACATACTTGGACATGTTTCAATGAAAGATCAGTCCTTGGAGAGGGACATCATACTTGGGAAGGTGGTGGGGGACAGAGCAAGAGAGGAAGACCCTGGATGAGATAGATTCACTTAGTGACTGGGGTAATGGGAATAGGCATGTCGGAGACAATAAAATTGGCACAGGATAAAGTGGGGTTTAGGGCTGTTGCACATAGGGTCGCTATGAGTTACCGGTGACTCAACAGCACATAACAACAACAAAAAGCAAAAAAGGCTGACTGCTCTGCAGCTAACCAAAACATACGTGGGCTCCATGGAGAAATACTTGATAATCTGTTCTGTAAACATTGCAACTGAGAACACCCTATGGCAAAGCTTGATTTTGTCACGTGGAGTCACTCTGAGTTTTAATTGATCTGATAACACCCAAAATCAACAATATCTTCCTCATCTTTGGTCTCTGTTCTTGAGTGCTAGCCTTCTTTACTGCAGCAACTTGGCTTACCCCTAAATGAACCTCTCTGAAAATAGTTCTGATCTAATTTAACTTTAACCGCTTTGTATGTTTGCCCCCTCTCCTGTCCGTCCCCCAAAGGAATCTCTTTTCTCCTTTCCATCTTCCATAGGCGTCTGTTAAAATTCTTATTAATAATAGGTCCTTCTCCCCCTCTCAACATGTATAATTTATGGTCTGGATGCTTGTGTTTACTTAAATATCATTTACGCTGAGCTCTGTGGCACTTCTGCCCTGCTGTTTTCCAATAACTACACATCCATTGAGGACCAAACAGCATCCTAATTATGTCATTGTGCCTGTGACAAGGACAGGAACTGCTGCAGAGCATAATGCTGCTGTGAGGCCAGGATTATTAGGACATAAGGGTTGGGCATGCTCAGTGTGGAGGCCCCACTTTGAGGAGTCAGGTGCAGTGGGGTAGGACAAAGAGGGCTATAAAATTCTCCATGACCCTCAAAGGATACGTCTACCAGAAACCTCAGAATGTGAGCTTATTTGGATAAATATCTTTGTAGGTGTTATTAAAATAGAAATCTTGAGATGAGATCATTTGTCCTGAATGTCCTTAAAAGAGACAGAAACGGAAATATAGAAGAGTGTATGTGCATTTGGAGGTAGAGATTGGAGTGATGTAGTCACATCTCATGAATGCCAAAGTTCAAGCAACCCCCAGACACTGAGACGCATGGGAGGAGGGTCGACTCTGCTGGCACGTTGTTTTGGGACTAGTAGTTCTCAGAACTGTAATAACTTTCTGTCATTTTAGGTAGAATTTAGTTTGGCAGTTCCAGGAAACAAACACTGAGGGTGTGATTTAAAGAAAAGAAAAGAAAAGCAAGAGAAACACTGTTGGCTGCTGAGTTTCTGCTCTCTGGGGCTGAGTTTCTACACTTCAGGTTTGAATGTCTACAAGTGAGGGTTACAAACAACCACCAAATACTGCTCTGGGGGACACAAGAGCGCAGTTGGTGAAGGTCAAGAAAAGGTGAACTTTCTAGGATCTTCTCACAAACTTACTGTGTTGAATCAGAACTGACGCAATACCGGACTGTAGTGGGTTTTCAGAGGCTATGAATCACTTGGGAAGAGATTTTCCATCTTTCTCCCTTGCAGCTGCTAATAACCTATTTTAGGACTTTTGTAACTAGCCTGGAGGTCTTCAAAAGGGCAAATGTTTATCAATGGCACTGTCCAAGCAGGAGTTGAGTGGCTGCAGCTGGGACCTGTCTTTTGGGGTAGACCACCTCTAGTGCCTCTGGTGACACAACCTGCCTTCCTGCGAAGTATTCTCTTGGTCAGTGTTAGCATCTCCTCTTGTGTTGTGGCCACAAGGAGACAAATCTCCAGGAGAAGCCGATGAGGGGAGCCCTTGTTTCTTGCTCTCCATAAGCCAAGGTTCTCGGGGTGTCTACTGTTAGCATGGAGGAGAAGGACTACAGTCTACTAACCATAGGGATATTTTGGCACCTCGTTATCTTCTGGCTTCCCTGGGAGACCCTGCAGGATTGGAGGTATAGACAACACCACCAGCTCAGCGTTCATACTGGGGCACAGCTGGGAGGTGGCATCGGAGCCAGGCAGCAGGACCAGCTGCCGCATCAGACCCTGGAGAAAGAGAAGGAAAATTGATTCAGATCACTGGCTGCTGGAGACAAGTTCCGGACCACCACAACCAGGCCTACCTGGATCCTGGAGGCAGGAGTAGGCTCAGGGTGGGGGATCTAATGCTCTTTTATTCTTTAACACTAAGAGTTAATATAATCTGTCTGCGCACTTATCCACCTGTTTTACCCACCTATCCACCCATCTATCCATCTACCTATCCATCTACTCATCTACTTAGGCATCCATCCATCCATCCAAACAGTCACAAAATGCCTACTATGGATCAGGCACAGTTGAGAAACTGGGATATAGCAAGGAACAAAAATCCCTTCCCTCATGAGGCTTTGACTCTAAGGGGAAGAGACAAGTAAGAAGCAAATCCAATAGAATATGTTACTTGTCAGTGCTCTGGAGAAGTAATCAAACAAAGAAAGGAGGCTGAGAGAGCTTGGATGAGGAGAGTCATTTTATCAGAACAATGGGGCACAGGCTCCATGCTAAGAGGACATTTGTGGCTAGACCAGAGAAAGAGAGTGAGTGGGTCTGTACGTTTAAAAATGGGTTCCTGGAGGCAGGGACATGCAAATGTCCTGTGGTGGGCAACCGTCTAGTATCTTTCTGGAATGGTGTTCTCCCTTTTTCTGTTTGGCACAAATAATGATTTCTTAAAGCAAAATATGATGACAACAGGATTCTGGTGTTGGAAGGACTTTCCATGCCCAGCTTTCATACTCACTGTGAACAGGCCTTTTGTTCGTCTCCGGCTGCCGATGAAGAAGCGGGCTCCTCGCATAGAAAGGGTGGCTGGGAAGGGCATGTCAGCAATTCTGAAAACATTTCAGGGGAGTTTTAGGGTTCCAGGGGAGCAACGTTGCCTCTGGTTTGCTGTGTAAAGAGTGTGTGTGCTACCATGAGTGTCTTCTACAAAAGCAGAGACATCTAGTGGTTCTGTCTCCTTACAGGCCTCTAGGTGCTGTCCACAGGGGCTGATGAAGGTGCCCACACAGGTCCCTCAGCATGCCCACCCCGTGCTGAGTGCCCACATGCTCATGGGAGGCAGGGCGGACCAGAGGGTGCCAGCAAGCAGCAGCTCAGGTTGTGTTTGGATGTGTGAGTTCAGACACTGAGCTCTGGGGATGAAGCAACACCCGTGCTGGAGGGTGTAGTGTCTGACAATGTGTGTAGCCTTGGCCTTAGGGATCTTCTCAGTGCCTCGTGCCCTCTAAGCCACCATACTGTCATCCTTTGCTCCTGGAATTCTCTGTCACTCGGCAGCAATTGATTGTGGCTTGGCCAGCTTCTGACCTGCTAGTGTGGAGCATTCATTCTCCGCTCACATCACTAACTCCTGGGGCACAGACTTCTTGGTCACACCAGTCCTTGGAGACACTTCTCACAATGGTCAACAAGACTCCTGAAGTTTGAGGGGTCATGTCCGTGCTCCTCGCCTCTGCTCACTCTCGGCTCCAGCTTCCCAGGACTTTCCGCAGAGATGTGCTCAAAGCTAGTGACTCACTCCCATCAGGAGGCATTTCCTGAGGACTGCTTACTGCCAGTGGTCACAGCCTGGCCAACTAACACCAAGGGGACAGAAGCCACCTCAGGAGTATTCTATGGGTCCACCTGGTTAGACTTTGATACCCAGTTACTCGGTCAAACACTAGTCTAGATGTTTCTGTGAAGCCAGTTACTGTGTGATTGACAGTAGGACCCACCACTTTCTGTCATTTGGTGACTTACACGTTTGCTATGATGCTGGAAGCTATGCCACTGGTATGTCAAATACCAGCAAGGTCACCTGTGGGTGGACAGGTCAGAGAAACTTCCAGACTAAGTCTAGAAAAATATATGAGGCTATCTACATCTGAAAATAAGCCAGGGAAGACTTCATTGATTTAGAAATAAACACTTCCTTATAAAGCCCTTTAGATTGGAAGGCATTAAAGATGACACAAAAGAGATAACAAGTCATTCTGTTGTATGACATAGAGTCACTCTATGTCAGCGTTGACAGCCTTTTGGCTAGCAGTTGTTGTTGTTGTGTACTGTCAAATTGGAACTAACCCACTGCTGACCTCCCAGCGGGTCAGTTACTCTCATAGGAGGAGATTGCCCATTCTCCCTCAAAGCAGCTGGTGGTTTGAACCGCCTGCCTTTGAGACTGCAGTGTAGTTTCTTACCACTAGGCCACCAGAGCTCCACATTATGCACTGATTACATAATGTGGTTACAATTCTGTTAACAGAGCAGCACATTATGCACTGGCTCAACAGAGGTCCTTGCTTAAGGCATAGAAAAACGTAAAGCAATAAAAAACAGAAAGTAAGACTCAAAGCAAGTGTTCTAGAAATGCTCAGTTATGCTCATCCTAGGACCCTGGATTCCATAGTTTAGCTGAGTGGGAGTCAATTCACTTCCACTCCTGTCTTCTTGAAGGTCTCCTTCAGCTCTACATTCCTGTGACCTGAGTCACATCCATGCCCCCATCCACTGTGGTCCTTATGGAGGGAAGGGCTGGCTTCTAATCTGTCTGAGAGCCTCTCTTTCCCCGGCAAGTTTCTGCCCCACTTATGAGTTCCCTAAACCTGACCCAGTTGAGGCTTTCAAAGAGACCCCTGGATACTGTAAATGGCTTGCACTGGTCTGTTATCAGAAAGGTTGGCAGTTTGATACAGATGCCTTTGCATTTACTTCTGAAAACCCCACCACTGAAAACCTTACAGAGCACTGTTCTACCCTGTAACACACATGGTCACCGTGAATTAGAATTCATTCAATGACACTGGCTTCGGTTTTCTTTGGAGGGGCATTATGTGAGGGTGTTGCTCACTGACAGATGGGCAGAGGACAGTGCTGCAGGCAGGACTGGTGTGAACTGAAAGGGAAGAAGATGGGTCCCCCCTCCCTGGTGCTGTCAGACAGCGTCACCCCAGCACATGTGACCCTCTCCTCACACCCGGTACCTACATGTCCATGGGAAGGCCACAGTCCACCGTGAGGGAGAAGGAGCCTTCAGACACGGCCAAGACCAGCGTGTGCCACCGGTTGTCCGTGAGTGCCAGACTGCGGAAGGACACCCGGGTCTGCCAGGCCCCGGCAGTGTCCTCGCTGAGGAACAGAAAGTGCAGCTTGCTGGCCGAGACCCGCAGCCCCAGCAGCAGCGTGCCCCGCTCCTCTGCCAGCACCGTGAGCAGGTACTCGTTCTTCTGCAAGAGAGAGGACCGAGGTGAGGGGGTGCCAGGCATAGGGTCACCCTGAGCACCGACAACAGCAAAGCCCCCACCCATGACCATAACCCCAACACCGGCAAACCCCACTGCTCTGAAAAATGGCCTTTTATGCATTGAACTGTGTTCCCTCTACCTGCCATGGAGTTGATTCCAACGCACAGTGACCCTCCAGTGGGTTTCTGGGGTGTAAATTGCCCATCTGTCTCCCAAGAAGCCGCTGGTGGATTCGAACCGAGGGAGGTGAGTAGCTTTTGGGTAAGCAGCACAACTCGCTACAGTCTACATCACCTCTCTGTCACTTTACAATTAGGTGGAGATTCTAAGCCCTGGTACCTGTAGATCTGATCTTGTGTGGCAGTAGGGTTTTTCACATTTCCATTAATGAGGACATACCACTGTAGGGAAGGCAGCTCTGGAGGCCTAATGTTAAGGAGCTGAGCTGCCAACTCAAAGGCACAAAGTTTGACTCCACCAACTGCTGCATGAGAGAAAGATGGCCACATCCTTCCCGTGAGATTTGTGGCCTCTGAAAACCACTGAGAGGTCAGTAATGAGCCAGTTCTGACTCGATGGAACTTAACAACCACCACAGTAAGGTGGGTTCTAAGCCAATCCCTTTGAACTGTACTTTATGAAAGAAACAGAATAGACAGTGGAGAGAGAGGTGCTGTGTGAGGGTCTGCACTCACACACATGGGGAAACAGAGGGTTGGACAGGGGTGAGCCACAGACAAGGAAGCTAGACCCAGACCATGAGAAGACAAATCCCTGTTCTTTAGTCAGGCTCCTGCGACATCCATGTCAAAGCCACGCTGAGAGGCTAAGTCGGGGATGACACACAATTTATACTTAAGCTTAATGGCCATGTGAAAGGGTAAGAATCTAAAAGTACTAAACGTAAAGTGTAAAGGAGACACATTACATAGTTGTAGAGCATAATTTTCTTTTCTTAAGTATGCATCTTCCTGTGTGTAAAAACTTTAAGCCAGATTAATTAAACTTTTTTCTAAACAAATTGGATACTTCCCAGTTTAAAATATGAAGTTAAATGTGGAGTTGAAAATTTCTACTGCCGAATTCAGCAACGTCCCCTTGGCCTCAGTGGGTCCTTATGCTCCTGACTGTGCTGGGCTAGACACGACCACTTGAACCTCGCTGTGAGGAGGCAGAAGAGCTCCGCAAAGGGACCTGAGTGGGGATGCCAAGCAGCGGGTGAGGGACTTGGAAGCTGTGAGGGCAAGTCCCTCACAGCGAGGGTCTGGAGCCTCAAGCAACCCCAGGCAAGGGAGCTGGCAGAGTGAGTTGATGTCACACTAGGGCTGCTACTGTTGTTAGATGAGAGTGGAATAATACTCCTGGGAACCCTGTCCTGTCCTGTGCCATTCTCATCTTCACTGACCAACGTGAGCCCATTGCTGCTGTCACTGGTGGTTCTCCTCTCTTCATTGACTCTCCACCTTTCCAAGCACGATGTCCCTTTCCAAGGAATAGTCTCTCCTAACAACATGCTCAAAATATACGAGTTAGACAAAGCCATCCTTGCCTCCAAGGAATACTCCGGTCACATTTTCTCTAAGATATATCTGTTTGTTCTTTTGGCAGTTCACGGAGTAGTCAGCTCTCTTCTCCAACACCACAACTCCAAGGTATCAATTCTTCTGTCATCTTTATTCATCATCCAGCTCTCAGGTAGATTGAAAAGACAATATCCTAAATTAATGTGCCTTAGTCTTCAAATGGACCTCATTGCTCCTCAGTAATTGGAGAGGATTTCTGAAAGTGGAGCTTCCCAATGCGATACATCTCCTGATCTGACTGCTGGTACCAAGTGTATTGATTGTGAACCCAAGGGATCTCCTTTAGTCACCATGTTCACAATTTTGGGCTCAAGGGGCCCATGCAGAATATGAGTCTTTCTGGGTGGGGCCTTACTCCCAGACACCCTCCCAGAGGAGTTAGGCCTCTGTCCTATGACATCTGAAGTAAATTACATATTCCTTGAATGCTTTGTGCCAGAGATAAACCAATGTCTGATCAAAACCATGTGCTCTCACCCTGTGAATCTGATGACAGAAAAAAGAGAATCAAGTGATTAAAAAGAGTTTATTCAGGAGCTCAATGAGGTATTGACACGTCAAGGTCCTGTGTGACACAGAGTCCAGAAAGTGAGAAGAAAGGGGGCAGATGGAGGTAAAGACTTAGGAGGAGCAAGGCTGGGAGCTCCTAGAGGGTTGAGGGACAAAGGTCACATAGGGACCCTGGAGATAGAGAGGTAGCCTGTCCTTGGGTGGATGCAGCCAACTAACAGGTTCAGGACCTAGACTGAGAGAGGGTGGGAGGAATATAGCCACTGAGGGACCTGGAACCCAGCTGCTTCTGTGAGCAGTGCTTGGTCAGTAACAGGACTTCTGGCCACATGAGGGGACACAGCAGGCTGGCTTGCACACAGGGCGGCAGATGAGGGACATGCAGGAGGAATTGGGGGCACAGCAAGAGGAGGTGGGCACACAGCAGGCGGGCTTGCACACAGGGTGGCAGATGAGGGACACAGTGGAGGAGGGCTTGCAGCAGGAGGAGGAGCAGACAGAGGGCTGGCAGCAGGAGGAGGCTGTGCAGGGACTGGACTCACAGCAGATAGGTTTACAGCAGAGAGGTTCACAGCACACGGGCTTGCAGCAGAGAGGTTCACAGCAGATGGGCTTGCAGCACACAGGTTCACAGCACACAGGCTTGCAACAGAGAGGTTCACAGCACACAGGCTTACAGCAGACAGGTTCACAGCACACAGGCTTGCAGCACACAGGTTCACAGCACATGGGTTTGCAGCAAACAGGTTCACAGCAGATGGGTTTGCAGCACACAGGCTTACAGCAGACAGGTTCACAGCACATGGGCCTGCAGCAGATGGGTTCACAGCAGATGGGCCTACAGCAGATGGGTTTGCAGCAGACAGACACACAGCAGCCCTGCTGGCAGGGGCGGGAAGTGCAGCATGAGGACTGGCAGCTGGACTGCTGGCAGCAGGAGGGCTCACAGGAGCTGGTGCAGCCTGACTGGCAGGGACTGCACCCACAGCTCACAGGGGTGCAGACCAGTGTGAGATGAGAGGCTGGGGCACAGCAGGTGGGCTTGCAGCAGGAGGACTGGCAGCAGGTGGGGGCACAGCAAGGAGGCTCACAGTGGCTCTCAGGACAGTTTTCCCAGGAGGAGCTGCGGCTGCCATAGCTCCTGTTGCTGGAGCAGACGGACATGGTGGAGGCAGCTGGAACACAGGATCTGGGGTAGCAGGTGTCAACCATGGTGGAACGGACGGAGGAGGTGAGCTGGGAGGAAGGTGAGTGAGTGAGTGAGGGAGTGAGTGTGTGAGTGTGTGAGGTGCTCTGGGCTGTCGGAGCTTTTATATCCCTTTCTGGCTTGTGCTGTTCCAACAAGAGGCTCAATCAACAAGCCTCCCCTTCCCTGTTGTTGTTAGAACCTGGGTGGAAGCCCTCATTAATGCTGTTGTGTTCCCCCTCCTCCTCCCCATTAATGCTGCTTTGTTTATACAAAAGAGGTTGATCAGCATATAAACTCCTGACAAGTGTTGACCTTGACTGCTGTCTGGCTCTCACAGGGAACATGGAAGAGTGGTAAACATGTGCTCCTGGAGCCCCCTGCCTGTCCAAGCCACCCCATTCTCTGTCATGTTGCAGGAGAGGAGGCCACAAATCCAGTCTCAGTCGCTGGGAATCATGGAGCTGAAAGTCAAGCCAGAAAGAAGGACCCTGATCGCTGGCAGTAGGATATATCTTCCCCCTCCTTCCCACCTAGCCTAAGACAGAAGCAGCAAATGGAAAGGCCAAGAATTCTTTAAAACCCAGCACAGAGTAACAGAAAGGACAATATCAAAGCAAAAACTTCAAAGGGTGGAGGGAAAGCCCCAAAAAGGCAAATAGGATCCAGCCAGAAAGAAAGACAAAAAGGAACAATAGAAGAAAAGGCCCCAGAGTAGAAGGAAATATAGGTCTTTAGATTTAAAATTCTGATGAAATATGTATACAATGAATGGAAAACCATGGTTGTCAGGACCTGCTGATAAGATCTCTGACATTAAAACATAACAGAGGGAAAAAAACCAACCCTAAAAGTGTTCCAAGAGACTTGCATCCTATGTGCACTCAACATAAGTGCCTGAAGAAAATGAAATAGAATCCTCAGAGTATAAGTGAATAAAATGACTTAGGATGTGTAACTACACTAACCATTCATCCTGTGTGCAAATAGTTCAAGCATTTCAGAAAGACAGCTGTGCTGGAAGTTTGCACTTACAAACTATCCATGAACACAACCTGAGTGAAAGTGGTCTGGCAATACAAAAGGCCTATCAAAGAAGAGTGGAACTCAAAATTGATGAAGAACAAAAAGAAAAACATATGAGCAAAAATGTAGGTTCCAGTTCTTAACTCCTTCAGGGAAAAGCAGCAGAAATACTTATACCTGTGGAGCAAATCAGAAGCTCTGATCTTCTAATTTGTAGGGAGTTGCACTGCTAACTCAAAGATCACGGCTCTTTGGCCTTTCAAATCCACCAGCAACTCTGAGGGAGCAAAATAGTAAAAACCGCCCAGCTTGTTTCCAAGGAGTCGGGAACCTACTGGAGGGTCAGCTCTGAGGCAGTTCTGACTCCTTGGAAATGAGGTGGGTGTTTTCAGTTCTTATAGAGTAAACCACTGTTTGCTTGTCTTCATTTAATTTTTTAGACACAATTCTAGAAGTTTTGACAAACACAAAATATCCTTTACTCACAAGGATGCCATGCAAGTTCATCACCCGCCCCCCCCCCAAATTCCCTTGTGTTCTTCCGTCGTAGCAGCTCCTCTCCCTCATCCAGAGTCTACGGCAACCCCTGACATGCCATCACTATAATGCTATCTTTTTTAGAATTTTATATAAATGGAGTCATACAGTAATTTGCTTTTTAAAGCTGGTTTTTTTTT